AATCAGCGTTGCATATGTGTCTAACCAAAATACCTTTTGTTGTTCAGTCTTTGTTCATCCTGCATCGCTCTTTTCTGTTCTTTAATGTAACGTTACTGGCGCGACAGAGCCTCTCCCAGCTGTTAGCAGACTGTTAGCCAGCGATGCAGTTCGGCGGTGAAATTTTATAAATGTACAATTATTAGTGCTACAAATTGTTTATGTGTCACAAACTGTTGTGTCGTGGTGTTTTGCCCTGTTAAATAGCGTTAGTTGTGGGTTGTTAATTGTTGTTGTAAAGTTATGACCATGACTAGGGTTCCCTCTCAAACTTAAGACAACTAGCTCACAGCGGCAAACAATATATTTTGCTGCCTGTTGAGCGACAGGAGTTGCCTCGGCTATGCACCGGTATGACTGTGTATGAAAAATTCATATCATACGGGAAATTAAAACCGGTATACCGCCCAGCCCTAGCCACAAGTACCAGTTTTTGTGTCTTGGCAATTGCAGTAACTGTTAAGTGTATTCATAGCACAAGCCTGTCTTTGCCAGATGCTCAGTACATTTCCTCTATAGCACAGGTCACGTCATGATCAGCCACTCCAGTGAACGCTGAGATCATCAACAACCTGAAATAAGCTCCTTTGTCCAAGTGGTCCAAATGCAAAGTGGGTTTTATTGATAAGTAAATCAAGTCTGATCTATAGCTTGAGGATCTTCCATAGGGCATCTCTACTTGTATGCTATTGCTAAATGAGTATGCACAATATTTCCACTAGCGAGAGGTTGTTGCTCTTTGATTCTGACGTTAACGTTTTAGATCGCTGAAAATAAGTATTCTGGAAATATCTCCTTGTGATGTCACGTCATCTATATTTGGCCAGCTATCCAGACAAATGCACCACCACACAACAGCCACTTCACCATGCAAGCGGCAGTCTGAACACTGCTCAGCACGCGTAGCAGAGTTGTAACAGTCATAACTGGATCTATGCACGAATCCAGATGTTTTTAGAGGGGAGCGCTGTCTGGCTTTGAGCTACATTATATATTCTACTGTAGTTAATAGTGGTGCAACGGAGCATAAAACTCACGGATCAGTCACAGATTTGCCGCCAATACCAATTGCTGATTGATACTGGCTGACACAGAGCCCTGTGTTTGATTATACAAGGCTACAGAAACATATTGGAACTGCTCTGAAGTCAGTGTAAACTATTTTCAAATGTTATCCTTTTACTTTGTTATCGTCTTCTATAGAGGGTTTTTTCTTCACAATTTAAATGATAAGAAAATAAAAGATAGTATTTTTATTGATTAAAACAAATGTCATTATTTTGAATGATGTATTATAATGTGCTTAGAGCTCGTGTTAGGAAGCTAAACAGCTCAGAATTCATCTCTAATATGTATTTTATATTAACGTGAAAACATCTCCTTCACCAAAACTACATTTTACAAGATAGCATCATGCTAACGTTATAATTTACCTTCACTGAACAGAGCCTGAACGCATCATCATGTAACCGAGCGGTTCGTCCTTTAGTTTAGTTCTGCTCGTGTCGATTTAAACCCAAACACACATTGGTTGTTTACAAAGTAACATTATCAGATATTGGCGACTATAAAGGCATAATTGATGCATTGATCTCATATTTTACTGAATATTGGAGGATAACTGTGGAGTTAATCTGCGGTTCACATGCGTGTTAAACCGTGAGGCGGTCCGTTACGCCACGAGTAGTTAAGTAATGCTGCCTCAGACAATCACAGCAAACACTTCACAACAACTCACTGAGTTGCACACGTCGGATCGTTTGGTTTTGGGAATAAAAATCAGACCTCTCAGCTTTCCCTCATCCAGCTGTCAGGTATCTGGAAGTGAACCAATCAACGCTCCTGACATCATCACTGGTTGTAAATGAGTATGATTAAGAGAAACCATGACAGCACACTGGATCAGTCAACTCTTCTCTGAGGATAAATTAGAGGGTCCGTTGTTTATCCTACGACGTGAGAAAACCGCAGCTAAAGCTAAAGTATAGGTGCAGCTAAAGGCTGCTCTCCTGCTTCTGTTAACCTGCAAAGGGTTCCAATGCTACAGTCTACAATAGTCTTGATTCTGTTCAACTGTCCAGCAAATATTAAACAAACTTTTGAAACGTCACCAAAAAGAAATGCAAATGAGGTGCTTTTCCATCAGCTGATCATCATGCCAGTTAAATATTCGCTCAGAATTTATTCTGTAAAGATGTAAAGATTCCATATTCAATTTAGCGCATCGACCCTTTTTTAACAAAAGGCAAAAACCATCTCAAACTAGCGTAGAAACTTTTTTGATATTTCCATACAGCTTTTCTAATGCCATACTTCAAAATGTTCATAATAGTCTGAATGGAAACATGGCTGATGATAGTGCCCTTTAGACTTTGTGGCAGCAGTTTGTTTCAACATGACAATGCCCAACATGTACACCATCAGCTCCACAACAAACGCTTTTCCCAGTTTGGAGTGGAACACCTGGACCGGCCTGCACAGAGCACCGACCTCGACCTCATCAGACCCGTTTGGGTTGAGCCACACCGTGATCACTGATGCAGCTGCCGTCAGCCAGGTTCCAAAATGGTTTTCGGGAAGTTACAGTATATGCAACCAGTGGCACATTATCCTGTTCTGGTGGTTATAATGGTTTTTGGTATGATTTTTAAATGACATTGACCAAATCTATTCTTGGTCAACTAACACTCATGTCATTTTTGTCAACGAATCAATTAGTCAATTTAATCAACAGATCTGTGAAACTAAGTTTCACCACAAAGAATCACCACTTTAAATGTTGCGTTTACCAGAAATGTGTTCATAAATGTCTGGGAAATAAGTTATTCAGCATGAAAAAAGCATAAAAAACAACTAATCCATTTAATAAATCTAAGAAGACTGAGACCACACGGCTGATAAATCCACCAACCAACTAAGAAGGAGCCGTCCTCGCTCTAATGTCCACATACTTATGGCCACGTTGTGCATCCTGTCTTATGTTCATTGTTTTCATAGTTCTTGGCTAAGCCACAGTATCTTAAATATATTGTGAAACAATAAAAATGAGAGATGACCTGGAAAATTCACCAGGTATGACGAGATGTCCTGATGATATGCCGACTGTGGCATTTCCTCACGATCTCTACCCAGTGTGCATCTCTCCGGCAGGACGACAACAGTAAAACCCACTCTGTTCAATTTCTCCAGCACCAAGATGTGTGTAGCTGGTTGGCTCTGTACAAATCACTATTATTGGTTCCATCTTCACTGTCATTGCATGGAGTTGCTGTGGACACAACTAAAGCACAGGGACTGGCTCAACCTCGGCTGGATTGCTCATTACTTAATGGAAAAGATTCCTAAAAAGCGGGGGGTGGGGGGTGGAAAGCTGGGTAATCTGTGTAACTCACGGTGATAAGCTCCTGAAGGGGCTAGGCTAGCAGGGTTAGCAGTGAGCAGGCTGGGCTCAGACTGTCTGAGAAGGACTGTATTAGGAGCGTCACTGTGTGAATGCTGCCTGCACCTTCACCTACATCACGTTCAACTCCACACGCAGGCTTCAGAAACATGAAAAGGACATTCCCTGTCTCCAGCGAAGGACTACACCCATTAGCATTGAGCTTATGTAAGATACATTGTGACGTATTTGTTCCAGAGCATGACAACACAAATCCTCCACACATTGACTTGAGCTTTTGAAAGCTGCAGCATTCCTGCTCATGGGTAGAGGCAGAAAGTACAGTTGCTACACACACACACACACACACACACACACACGCGTGTGTTTTCTGGCTTGGAATTTGAGGAGTAAGGAGGGTCTGAAGTTCATTCAGCTGCCTTCAGGGAGGCCTCCATCCATGGGCACAATAATGATTCTGCAGGGTTATGGTGTTATGATGAACATAATGTCTGAGCAAAGCTGAGCCCCAGAACATCTCGTCTCAGTCTTTATGCGATAACAAACACTCATTCACAGCAGACAGTCTGTTTGGCCTTGGTAGACCACGGCACTAGTCCTCTTTTAAGAAGCTGCAGACACTTTGCAGGTACATCACATTTCTCCCAGAAAATCCCCTATACATCCAGGCTATAGATGAGGGATACATGGAAATATTCAGTAATGCTCAAAATAAATCTCAATAGTCTGACAAACAGGATTTGTTTCCAGGTTTAGATCACAGTGGCACACGTAGCTTGTTGTGGTGGGCTGTCAGTCCGAATCTGCCGTCAACCCATTCTCATTTACTGAACAGTCAGTATTTGTGCACCTGTGTTGTCCAATCATGCACTTGCATTCAAATGAGACAGTTTTGTTAGATCTATCTAATCACATGATGTTTCAGCCAATGCGTAGGGGACCCACATCAGATCAGCAGCCACAGCTAGTGCTAGTGCAGCTGCAATAGCTGGTCCTCTCAGTACCGGCTGCTGTGAAATATAATCAAACGGTACCAACTTGCTTCTCAAAATAAAAAAGACATTTTCATTTGTTGTCAGATTTCATTGAAATGTGTGGAAGGTTATTATGTCATATGCCGGATCAAGCTTCAATCGTAGCATTGATGTATTATTACCACACTAAGTTACAGTATGTTAGCAAAGTGTAACATTAGCCTCTACTTTTATTTATGTTTCAGGCCACCGAAAGAATACAAGTCCAATATTCACTCTCCTTTTAGTCTCCACCATCTCCTGAGAATAACGTCTGTCTCGTATAACCTGATCTCATACATACATACATACATACATACATCGTAGAACTCTGGGCTCAGGTCAACCCTGGGTTAACAGTCTGTGTGTTAAAAGAGGCTAAGGATAGCAGGCCTAATAATATGCAGTGAAAGAAACCTATAAACTAGCAAACAAATCCAAATATATGCTGAGATGACCACTTTGCAGCCAAACACAGCACAGAACTGAGGTCTGTTGACACATGCAACATGGCGACCGGAGGGTGAAAGCAGGGAGAGCAGGCTGACCTGTCACAGAGGTGGTTCACTGCGCCGAAGGAGTCGCAGGCGCAGGGCAGGCAGCCGCTGGTGCCGTTGGTGAAGTGTCCCTCCTCGCAGTCGTCACACTGTAGACCGGTGTAGCCCGACACACAAGAACACTGACCGGTACCCCGATCACACTCGTCCGGATCCAAAATGCCCTCACCACCACTGCTGCAGTTACAAAGAGCCTCTGGTGGATGGATGGGGGTGTCACAGTGAGAGGGAGAGACAAGACATGAGAAACACTGCAAAGATGACTAGCAGAGGTAGTCTGAACAGTATATGAACATTTACATTTGACTCTACACACACTTTTTATGCACAAATAATTGGAGTGACGGCGAGATCGGAAAGTGGCCGATAATATGCCGCCGTGTTCAACGGCATAGACCGTTTCCTGAAGGCAGGTGCCGCTTGAAAGTTCATATCAGTGGTGTAGTATGCCGTTGAGACACACACACACAGGCCATAATATCAGAGTCAGGGTACGTCAGCCAATACGAAATCACTTTGTCATTTCACAAGCCTTGCATGTATCCCAACAAAAAAATTGGACGAGATAAAATAGATACATTTCTTTGTGTTGCGCTACTTTGTCAATAAAGTCAGAATAAAATACAGCATCAATGGTCGTGAATCAAACATGCACCACCAGGAGTCTGTGTCTCTGCTGTTGGAAGAGTCGTGGACACCGCTGCAGGGATCGTCAGATACCGCTGAACAACAGCGGCAGAGCATCAGACACGTTCCATCTCATCGCTACTCAATGATCTTCTCTTCTCTTATTTGCATTCTATCTGCTTTATCTTACTTACTTACATATGAACATATTTCTGCACGTTCATCTGTTGATGTATGGGCTCAGAGCAGCTTGATAAATGTGCTCTCATGTTCTTCAGTATTTTATGACATACAAGGGCTTACATTTTTTTAATTTTTTTTTTATAAATGGTAGGGACAGTGCAGATTAATAAAATATCACGTTAAATGCGCCAGAATGAGCCAAGAGGCTATTTTTCATCAGTAGTAGTCTGGAGGGTTTCAGATTTTTTTTTAAATATTAAACCGTAGCCTTTGTGCTTAAGCATGAAAAGTGCTATATACATATAATAATACTTGTTCTTATTCAAATAAAGGCTTGATTCATGGCACAAAGGAAGTACGTCAACCATTATGCCACCACAACAGGAAGAGGAGTGTGATTCTGTTTTCCCTGGTAGCCATCAGTGTCAGAGCATCAATGGGAGCGCCTCAGTTATATCTCCGGTAGAGGAAGCCAACTGTGTCCTGTGCTGATGGAAGATGGAGCTTCTGAGGCTAACAGAAAGGAAAGTCATGCTGGTGTCTCGGCGACAGCTGTGCCACCAATGACACTCTAAAAACTACAAAAGGGCAAAAGTTAAAAAGTTGTCTATCACCACTTTAATGAAACCCATCTAACAGGGAGGATTAACACAGCTCAGTATCCTGTTTCAGTGGAGTTTATACAGTTAGAATGTGTTTCACATTAGAATCAATAATTCCACTTTGACTGAAGCCTAAACACACATCTGACAAATTGGACACAGTCTCCTGTGTTGGTGTGATCTCCAGGTTTACCTTCCTCCTTTGAATTTGCATAATAGAAACAGAGATACACTGTGTTTGAAAAGTGGAGAAGTCATCATGCTTCTCTAAAGTACAAGACTACACCATCACACTACAAACTGCAGCATTGGTCCCACAGACACATGCTTACAGTCACTCAATGTGTTCAATGTCAAGTCACCCGAGTTGTGACGTTACATTCTCTTTCAGGGCTGAGTGCAGGGCAATCTCATTGGACGGTGGGCTAGTGTGACCACACCAAGAAGCAGTAACACTAGAAGCTGTCAAGTGCATCCAGCCTTCCACTATCCTTCACTGTTCCATTCAGTCTGTATCATCGGCCTCTGGGACTTTCTAGTTCACTTTCCTTGTCCATATTCCTCTCACCCATCAATAGCCATGAGCCGGCTTCTAGGCCTTTATCCTCCTCGGTATCTGAATTAAGGGAGACATATCGTGCTCATTTTCAGGTTCATACCAGTTTCCACCCTTTGTCTGAATTGCTCCGTTTTAGCGCCTGTCTCTTTAAGCCCCCCCTCCAATACAGCCCAGTCTGCTCTGATTGGCTCGTGGGGAAAAACATGGCACACCTTTACAAAAGGTAGTTTAAATGAGGCTGCATGTGAGGTAGGAAAGGACAGCCAAATGTGAGTGGTTGGTTGAATCACGTGTGTGTGTGTGTGTGTGTGTGTCCTGATCCAGGCAGTTCACACCCAACTGAATGGGTCGTCTTATGTCATAGTTTGTGGGTTGGTAGGAACTCCAGATTACATATGTGTACAAGGAATGCAAATGACTTCTTCTTCATATGTCCTCTTTAATGCTTTTGAAAGGTCCACACTGGCAGCTGTCACTTATACTATTTGATGTCATTTTGTTTCATGATAAATTCCCCTCATGAAGATTTGTGTCGAAAACAAAGATGGCAAACCGAGTGCAGCTGCGTTGTCAATGCAAGATTTTGTACAGTTCAAACTGGTGCGCTCAAAGAAACCAGAGGATACAATGACAGACGAGTACATGACCCTGTAGAGCACAGAGTGGCTTATCTATTATTCATCTGATCTCAGGTTAGGTGTGGCGAGTGACGACTGAACGCCTGACTGTCTCCACCCTGTACTCAGCAGTCAGACCAGGAAGACAGACAAGAGCTGTAAATAAAAACGCTTGTCATGTGCGTATGCATACAGACAGCACCTCAGGTAGCAGTTCAATAAAGAGAAGGAGGACGGCTGAATGTTAAAGCATTCCTGATTAATCTCCTCTTTCACTGATGCTTGGACTTTTATGCAACAGAGAAAGGCCTGATTATGCGAGCCTGTGGAGGACACTGTCAGGCCCTTCCACTGAAGAACTGTCGGGGCCGATCACGCCTGAGAATCTGTGAGATCGGGTGAATGCATATCCCCTCACACACAGTCAGGCTTCCACTAGGTGCACAGCCAAACAACAGGTTTGATGTGGATTGGACTGGACCTGTGTGTGGTGAAGAGATCTCTCCGATCTATTGGACTGCTGTAAAGTGGTGTGGCAGCGCTGCTGGTATTCAGACAGGCTGTTCACAACAAGTCAGAGAATGTGTGCTGGAAGCTCGGCGAGGCGTTGGACCAGGTGACGCCTTTGTTGATGTGCTTTTACTGTGAGTGGTCTTCACCCGAGAACACTGAAGGGTGCCGAGCTACCTGCTGAAGCCTCGATGTATGATCTCACACAAGGGAGGAGATCTCATCTTGACTTTGGGGTCCAAATGAACACGAATAAATAACACCGACAGATTTACGACGGGAGCTGCCTGAAACACGCCGCCATTTTATCTCAAGTCATCTGCAATACTGACCCAAAACACTAACTGAAGCATGCAGATTGATAGCAGGGCTGTGAAGAACTGTTATTTTCCTTATTAATTAATCTGCCCCCGTTTTCTTGTTTGGCCTATAAAATGGCGAATAAACGGCCATCACAGTCTCCTTAAGCCCAATGCTTTCTTATTGCTCGTCAGTCCAAACAGAGAGTTCACCGTCACAGAGACAAAGAGAAGCAGCAAATCTTCACAACTGAACGACTAAACAGAACAACATTGAAAAAAATGCCTAATGTAACTGCACAGAAGGATGTCAGCAACAAAGAAAGTATATCATTAAAACATATTCACAAGCATCACACCAGACTTTAAAAATATTCCACTGAACATGTGGATATCTTCAACCGGCCACTCGCCGCTCCCTTGACAGCGCCTCACCATGGGGACCAGGCAGAACATTGGTCCTGCTTCTCCCTCTTCAACATCACAACCAGAGCACACCAACAGCTAATCCTCCGATCACCGAGATTAATGCCGACAGTAAGGTGGCACACAGTGGGGAGAACAAAGGGTCATTGTGAAAACATAACTGCATGTGAGGGGCTAGTATCAGTCACAGTATGAAAGAAAACAGACTTCATGGGGTTTTATGTCCTGGCTTAGGAGCATCATGAAGTTTAAACTACAACATGGCATTTTATGGGAAGAAATGGATTCAGCAAACAATATGTGGCCAACTGTGTCCCACTGCCCTCTTTAAAATGGCACACGGTGAATTTTCTAAATTAAACTAAACACTTAATATCAACTAAATCTAATGAAATGATCGGTGTTGGCACAGAAACCAATATTTTACCATTTCTGCCAGTTCTGTTTGTTACATCTTAATATCAGATTTACAGCTGATGTTTGCATCATAATATTTGAAGTGGACCCTTATCCAATGAACAGAAAACAATATTTGCCCATTTCTGCCTGTTTTTAACTGTACTTATTTATAGATTTACTCAAAACAATTGCCATATTTTTCAGTATATGGCCCACAATCCAAATTGTTTGGACACCACCGGTTTTACATCTACGAGTTCAGGAAGAATGAATACGATCCATCTCCTGATAGGAACAATATGGCTTCAGCAGACCTTCCCACCCATTAAAGCACCATTTTGGACAGGACCCCACTGCCTCAGAACAACACTTCCACATGGAGACCGTGATGTGTGAGAGGAGGGGCTCCTCTGTCATTGCTCATTCATGGCTTGGCCATCTTGGTTGAATGGCCTTGTTCCGTGCTTGCCATGCAAACAACAATAGAGGATGGAGGGGAAGCAGCTATCTGAGCAGCTCCTTGTAGTTCCCTGTCAACATCAAACACGTCAGGTGTAACACAAATGACCAGGGCTCTGTATGGGCGCTCTGTGCACTGACTGATGGATACATTGACTGAACAACAACAGGATCAACCTTGCACCCCCCTCCCAGCCCACTGTAATATGTGCACACTCGTGCTGTAATAAAAGTCCTCTGGAGCATTAGGCTACACCGCAAAATGCACAGAGGACAAATGATGTATTTATGAGATTAGGATTTGGTGATTCCCCGATCGTTTGAAGGCTGCACCGTGTGATCCGATGGCTCTGCCATTGTTGCAATCTGCTTTATGTGCTCGTTCTCTGCGTCAAACCACCGTGTGACCACCCTGCTCCTCCTGGCAGTCTATATTAGACATGGATGTCTCCTTCTTCGCAGACTCGTATTCTGAACATGAATGTGCTAAAAACAACATGCAGCTCGTCAGTATTGTACAGGAGCTGAAATAAATCAGATTGCTTCCTCTTTCCATGGTCCTGGTAGCTATTGTACTCGGAGGTAACGTTGCTCACCTTGACTGTTCTCTATCGAGGTATCCGATGTGCCGATATTATCTGCTGCCCAGGCGTCGTTCGCTGTGCGCTGGGAGACCATGGACACCATGGACACCATGGTCTGCAGCATTTTCTCCGGAGCAAAAAGTGATGTTTGTGCATCGGTGGACCGTTTGCGTGCGCCTGTTAATCTGGAAATCGGCGGTGTTATTTGTTCTTTGATGGCTGAAATGATTCCGGTGTCAGTAGAAGTCGCCGGGTCCGTTGTTAGAGGCTGGATGGTGGTTGCCGTTTTAGTAATATGGCTAGTAGTGGTATTGGTGGTGGTCGGGCCGGCAGAAACGATGGTAGGCGACGGTGCGAGTTCGGTTAGAGGCCCAAGAGCGAACCTGCTCTCGGGTAAAGTACGAGGCGTGTTGGTGTGCAAGGTCTCCCAGGTGTCGGAGGCTGAGCCGGGCTTCCCGGAGATAGGCGACGCATCGTTGGGACTGATGCGGGGAGCAGCTTCAGAAAATCCAATATATACATACAAAATAAATAGCAGAGCCGGAGATATGTACATCATTAAGGACGTTAACCTCATATTCACTTTCAGCTCTCCATGTAAGCCCCAGCAGTGGTCTCTCTCAGACCTTTCCCTGAATGGACGCGTACTCCACCATTGATGCTGCTGTGTGCTGCCCTATGAACCACAGTCAACACTTCACCTGCTCTGCAACCTACCATGAGCCGCCCGAGACTGACGTACGCCTCAGCCAATGGCGGCCCTGAAACAATGTCTTTGGGTGCTCGTTCGTGCGCTGGTTGGACAGTCATAGACACCTATGAAACATTTTACGAAATGATCAAACGTCCTCACGCGTCTGAAAATTATCTAAACATAACCAGCTCTATTAACTGAACAACTCGAGGAAGCATATGTAGTTATTGTGCTGATGAGATATAACGACCGTGGCAGTGATACAGTCATATCTGTGCCCACAACAGGCCAGGTATCCTCCATATGGAATGTCCCAGTGGCAGTTTGTGGGATTATTGTACAGTGAAGGCTCCATAATCTTTGTCTAGGCTTGCAACGCCAAAGATTTAATGGTCTACGGTTTCACACCAGTATCTCTGTGAAACTATTCTGGGATGGCTCATTTAAAAAAGTAATATATTTTCATTGACGGTTCTGTTAATAGACAAAACCCTCAAAACATATTTAGCGCACTTCACATTGCGTAATTTTTGGGATTATTTTTTTTAAAGATGTATTTTGATTGTCTTCACCGGAAGTGATAGTATGACGTTGGCTCTTGGTACGTTTGTTGGATAAGTACATTTTTTTTAATAGCTATCACAATTTCTAAAACAAGTGCTCTCTTTGTCTACT